CGTTTGGGGGAGCGCATTGACTCGGGCGCAGCATTTTAAGGCGGTGTATTTTAAAACGTCCTAAAATAGTAATCTTGTGTTATTATTTATAAATTGTTATCATAACAAAACAGATTTCATTATAGTTATTTTATTTTATAACAGATAATTTAGTTAAACATATTAAATAGAATTGGAGCATTTTTATTTTATTTTTTTTTTTTTATTAAGGTTAACCCCATCTCACAGTTTACCCTCACTCAGCAGGGGGCTTAAAACCGTATACTGTAAAACACAAAGTGCAGCTGGAAATCACAGTGTATCGTAAAAACAAAATTGTTCTTATGTGAAAGGGCACTGGAGGAATAGTGTCCCAGGACATCATAAATTTAAATACCTCTGAGTTTTTCGTATAATGAAAAACTCAGTAGCCGATCCTGGGGTCCCCGGTGATAAGAGCGATCGGTCCCCCGTTCGCATCCCAATATCCTCCGAGATTAATTTTCATCTTAAATGCGAGCTTCGTATACATTTTCAAAATCACCACCCCCCGTCCCTCCTCGTCTCTATTTTATTATCTTGGGTCCGCCCTTGCTTCGTATAACATATGAATCGAAAGACGTCGAATATTTTACAAAAAAACCGTATTAATATTTACAAGTGTTGTACGGCACACGGACGACGATTTATACTTAGTAGGTAATTTATAATATGACCTTTCGGCCGGTACCTGTATCACTAATAACGTAGTCAGAGGTCTTGCGTAAACACGAGCAAAATTAATCAATTCGATAAATAACGTCTCATTTGCTCGTCGGCGATAAAATATTTAAAGCGTGTCTGTCTTACCCATATAGGCTTGTCTATACAAACCGATTTTCAATCATCAACACGGCCGATAAACTGTAGTCTGTTGGTAAGTATAGAACGGTATTTTTTTTTCTCTGTGTTTATAAATATTTTATTTACACACGATTCGTAAATAATGTAATGCAAACCGGCATCATAATAAATGTAAACATCATTATAGGCACGCCTTTGTATCTATACGATGCGACGAGCAAAGGTTGAGTACGGAAACGGTTTGAATTTACGGAAAATAATATTATAGAACCGTATCAATAATGTGAACCCTCGGAATAGTTTATAATACGTATGATTGTATTGTATTATGCGGTTTTCGTATGCGCATGCGGAATAAGCCGAGGTGTTAAGACCTTTATTTTTACAACACATTACCTACGTAAAAAACTATACGGCTCCGCAAGAGTTTTGTAAATTTTAAACACCGAGTGTGAACGAATTAAATGCTGAATATTCGTTTTACTAAAATGTGTAATAATGGAATGATTGATAAAGATAATACAAGTATAATATTCACCAACGGACACGTTTCGATATTAATCATTTTAGATTCTGAGCGAATGGATGTATTGGTTTTTATATCGATATATATATATATTTATACTGTGTACGAAAATTCAACCGGAAATATTACTCCTATGTACCAAGTGTAGCAAATTTTCTGAAAGTAAATTTTATCTAGATGGTACATTATGGAGGTTAATTTGTTGATGTTCCAAGAAGATTTCATAATAATTGGGAAAAACCCGAAAAAAAACATAAGAAACAAAAAAATTGACTAAATTTATTATTTTCAATTTTGTTTTTCTGTTGTGATTCGGTTAAAATTATTCGTAGAGACATAGAATTTTGACAGAAAACTATATTTGCTATTACAGAACGTGGTAAAATGTTTAAAATATTTTAGCCATTTTTGTACATTTATGGACATTTTAATTTTGTGAGTTTTTAACTAATTTTTTTCAATAGGTTCTCTGTGGATACAATTGTTAGACCAAACAGAAATGCTTGACAATTTAACAAGATATTCATGGTAAGTCGTAATTTGGGGTAAAAAAAAAATATTGAGTGGAATATAGAATTTTTTTTTATAAGAATTTTAATATCAAATTTTCACAAAAATCGTAAATATTACGGCCTTTCAAAACGTGTATAACAGAATTCCGATTAGAATTGTTTTTCGCTTTCAATGATTAATCGTTGCGAACAGATATACATTAAATCCCCATAACGAATAACATACAGCAAAATTACGTTACATACTCGGAACATAAATTGTGGCGTTTAGGTTGACTCTAATAGCGTTTAAACACTAATATCACAATTTAAAAAGATTTTCGAGGGTACGTCACTTTTTTCTGAAATATTATCAAACCAAAATATCACAGTCACTTTAGATTATATATGTTTGTGTTTTATAAATAGCTGTAATTTTTATGCGTGGCAATTTTTTAGAATTAAAACGACGTATCCTCCACGAAAATATTATCCTCTTCAAATTTTGTTATTTGCGTTTAAACTCTAATCGCCTGCCGCAATGAAAAAGGTCACTTCTAACGTCCAATTTACCTAATCTCTTATCATATCGTCAGCTGCAATGAAAAATGTAGTATCTCTGATGCTGAAAAAAAATACGACCTGCATCGAGATACGTCATTTTACGTTGTGGCAGACGATAAAAAATAAAATAATAAAATTTTATTCCTGTAAGTAAATTAAATACTTGAAACAAAACTATTTTACCATATAATTAGATTAAAATGATGATCACAACAATTATTATGGTATTGTCGTCTGAAATGATGGCTAAATGAATCTAATTTAACGACCAACAACTAAATCCAATTAAATCCGTTTGAATTGTGAAAGAAATCGAATAACTAAGTGCACGATTTAATGCACTTGTAAGCATAATTAAATTAATTCAAACTCGCAATGGAAATTATAAAATCATTAATATAGTAATAATATAATGTTATAGTAGGTAATAAATTGTATAGTAAAAAATTACCTCGGACTAATATAATAATATCCATGAACTGTTTATAATATTAAAATATACACGAAGATAAGATGTAAACGTTATAATATTCAAGTCGCGGTTATTATTTTCATAATATTTCGTTTTAGTTCATTAAATATTTCAGTTATATAGATTTGGTCGAGTACTCGACTTTACGCAAGTACTCGACTGTTCACTTAAAAAAAATGAACGTACAAGTAGCAACTACGTCTATATATCTTCAAACCCAGATAGATCCAATCAAATTACCGCATTAATGGTTTCAATTTACAAAAATAGGAAGTTATTATAATACTCAAGTATTATGGTAAGAACAATAATTGTGTTTGATTTAGAGTTGGCCGTGTACTCGACTACACATTTTTTTTTCTGATACTCGTTAACTCAAATATTAGATTTTTGAACTCTGCTCTACTCTTAACAATGTCTTTTTTTTTCGTCTTTCTGTTCAAATAAATTGTTCACATCACTTTTTAATGACGTAACTATTCTTGATTAAAGTTAATTACATAAAATTGGTTTTCATTTGTTATATAAAATACGGGAGAATTGACGTTATAATAATTATTTGTTCGTATGATTCAAAATTAAAATCATACATGACTGCATAATAATAAGACATTTTGTGTACCTACCTTTTGTCATGTTGGGTAACATATTATTGTGTATGCTCTAATACTTTCCCCTATCCGAATTTAAATGCGGAATGTTTCGTAAACGAGCTGAAGGAATTTAAAAATTCGAACACCAAAATTTATTTAAACTCTGTTTATGGCATTTTCAATATAGGCTGACATTTGAAAATCAAAAATAGGTACTTGCTTCTATCCCAAAAACAAAGGGTGATAAAAATAATTTTTAATGGAAATTTTAGAGCTACTAGTTTTATTTTAAATTCCGAAATATGTTAATATATAAATTAATATTTTCCGAGATATCGCAACGGGTTATCTATACTCTATTTTGTAAACGTTTCAAAGCACTTAATGTGCGATTTTTGGACCGAGTATTTTTTTGAATTTATTCATTTTTGAAGCTAGGCGAATGTCTGAGTGCCTGCTGTTCGTTGATTTCGGGTTTTGCATCCATTTAATATGATCCTCGAGGGTGGAAAAGCACACTAAAATATTATACGTTTTGGTATATAGAGTAAAAATCTCGTCTATAGTGTGTTTAAAAAGGGTTCAAGTTCAAAGTGTTTTAACTGTATATACAAATATACGTATGTACATGATTTATAACATAATATTATGCAGTTATCGTATTTGTTTGAAAAAAAAACCCGTGTACATATATTTCATTTGCCTACGCAAATAATAATAATAATAAAAAAAGGCACTTGACTGCATAAACTCTGAACTTTTTTTCGATTTACCAACCCGACCGGAGATAACCACCCGATTTCGCCCGTCTGCACAATTCAGTTAGCGGAAAAGCGTATATAGGTACGTACGATTACAGTCGTTTAGCGAAAATTACTTTTAGAATTTCCTATGGTTCTGTTCCGGTGTACGGCCGGGTGCTTTCAATAAACGGTTGCACTTTACCGCGTGTAATGATTAAAATACCATAACGATAAAAGCGGTGTGTACATTTTAAATCGGCCCACGCCGCGTGTCGACAAAATCCACTGCCCGGTTTTATTAATATAAAAATCTCCCTCCAATCGTAAACGCGTTTTGCAGAACCAAGATTACCGGTTGAAAACGCAATTCGTAAAATATTAAAAAGAACGCCATGTATTTTAGCCCCGTCACAATTTGGACATAAAGTAATAAAATCCCCATGTCGTATAATTATGTCATCACTCGGGCCCAGATTTACGCATGTGCATGCGATGCACTAGCACAGGGTTCCCGAATTTTTCAACTCTCTTCCCATTTTGTACTTAAGTAAAAAAAAAATTCTGTTTACGGGCATAAATATTGAAAGAAGTAGTAAACATATTATTATTAAAATATTATTATATAATATCATGACCATTGTCTGGTATGCAATTCTTCAAATTAACAAAGTTAGTATGGATATCCAAGTATTCACAATAATTTTATCTACTCTTTTTCTACTGTATAGTTCATTAATTGTATTTATTAACAATGTAATACATAATTTGAAATACTATGAAAAAGAATCCATGAATATAAACTTGTTCCCTGATTATTTATCAAAAAGAAAAAAAGCAATATACCAGAAGTAAGTGCTTAGATAATACAAATAACCCGGGTGTGATTTTAGCTGCAAAAGAACATTTTATTTAAAACACTCATTATGTAATATATGATAAATTACTTACTGGATTTTTTTAAAAAAAAAACAACGCTTACGAAGAATTAAAAGAAAAATTGGTTTTCTCTTTAGAAATGTGGATAGATCAGATATAGAAAAATGTTCAAAAAATATACTGGAAACTTATTCTGATGCTTTAGATTCTGATAATTTTGAAAGTAAATTAATACAGTTTCAAGAGTTCAGAAAATTATTTCTCGACACTAAGCAGGATCCTGGTTATTATTTGAAATATATTCGAAGTATGAATATTCGCCATACAATTCCTAACGTAAACACTATATTACAAATATACTTGTCAATGCCACGCTTGAATTGTAGTAGTGAACGTTAATTTTCTGCATTTAAACTCGTATTTAAACTCGCATGCGCTTTTCTTTAACACAAGAATGACTGTAATTATTATCATCACTAGCAATCAATGTTATTCTATGATACAAAACAATTAACATTTGATGGCATAATTGCAGAATACGCAAAAATACAAGAAAAAATGTCTATTGTAATAAAATTAATATTGTAATATATGAGTTTTATTTTGTTATACAAGAACTGAACTTTTAATTATCATTCTTATTTATGTATTATTATTTTTTACTTTTAGTAAAATTATTAGTCAAAAAGTGCCCCCTAAGTTAAAACTGCACGGGGTCTATATTACTTTAAAGCAGGCCCTGCATGTGATATTAATGAAAAATAAGTATGCACCGTTGAAATTGTGAGTTTTATTTTATAGCAGAAAATCATCGCGACACAAATATCAAATTACTTTATGTATCCAATATATTGCCCACTTCTCGTCTATAACAGTGGCACACACAATATCAGCTATATCTTTTATTTGTTTAATTCGGTAAGAAATAATAATTGTAGATACCCGAGTACCTACTTCAGACCGCACATAAATACTCGAAATTTCGATACAGGGTTTCTCATAAGTTGTCGTTATGGTTATAAAAAATATCGGAAATCCACCACAGTCACGGTTTTGATTTTAAACAAATTCGAAGTTCGGATTTTTACGAAAGTCTATAAATCGTAAAATCATTAAAATGTTAACGGATTTTAATTGCAGAATTTACCTCGAAGACTCTACGAAGACTCTGTTCAACGGAGGCAACTGTGTGCTGTTTATTTTAATGTTATAGAGAGTTGACCTGTTAGGTATATAATAAAATTTAAATTTTAAAAGAATAAAAATACGTTTCACAAAAATATAAAATACATTTCGAGACCTGAGAGAGAATGAGAGGGGGGGTGTATAACCTGCTACCCCCGCTGTCTTCCCCCGGTCGTCCGGTAATTTATTTTTAAAAGGGTAGGCACTTCATTTCTCGCGACAATGAAATCAACTAATATAGTAACTGTTTTTTTTTTTTTTATCTGTGTCGTCAAGGTGATACCTATAAAAATCAACAAAAAAAAAAAAAAAAAAACAATGTTCGTTTTAAAGACTATAGTTCTTAAAAATTATCCTTATCCTTTCCCCCCATTTCATGACGAAATCTTTTGACATCCACTGCAGGTGATTTTGCAGCGCACCTAATAGAATAGCCGTCGTTTATAGAAATGTTGGTCGTCGTGCATTTATTATAATAATAATGAGAGAGGCGGAAAGACGGTCGCAAACCATTTTTCATGAACATTTTTCAGGCTTTTCCCCTCAGTGTTCGCCGGACAAATTTTTAAAGAAGAGCGTTTAGCTGTCTAGTTATCGTGCGATTTATGTGACATTTTTATTGGTGCCGCAGGCGTTCGGCGCGAATATTTGGACATCCGTATAATAATATAATGGCCGTGCAAATGTTTTATTACACGACTGTTGTCGAGTGAGTGCATTATTGTTAAAAGCGTATAAAATAAGCCGTTAAAATCAATATATAGGCCCAATAATCATAATTTTATCGTGTGTTTGTCAGTTTCTACTCCTCGTTAGAGACTCGAGGTATACAATGTTGAAACTATTTGCGTGTTTAAAAAAGTTTTTTTTTTTTTTTTTGAATCTCGGTGATTTTACGTGAGGATTAAAGAGAAACCTACGCCCGTTTTGCCCGCCACGATATTGGGTCGGAGCGCGTATTTTTTCCCCGAACATTTATTTGGATTAAAATCCCGTCAATATTTTCCTCTGGATATTGAAACCGATTGCACCGGGGAAAAAAAAAAATAAATATAAATTAAGTCCTAATTTATCCGCAGCCTTAAACTTGATGTACCGACATAAAATTAACTTTAAGAAGACGCGATATACACATAATATGATGACTAGTGAACGGATTTTATTGTAAGTACACATTTTTATCGGGACGAGTTATTTAAATCCGATAACAAAACGTGTACGGTTTAGATCATTCTAATTGAAATCGACACAAATTTATGTTGCATATTTTTACATATTTGGCAAATAAATACAAATTTTAGTAATTTTTGATATTTTTCATTGATTTTTGACGACGATAAACGTTATCTGCATCGTCTAAAACAATAAGATTAGTAATCTAAATGGCATTTACGTACTTATTCCCGGCATGCCGCTATGTTGTAGATTAGAATTAGTTTAGTTATCGCGTTATGATGCACCGTATACACTATTGTAGATGTTGGTGATGTCAGACGATATAAATGTAAAATAAGGAAGTGGTACTCGGACAACCGTTTTTATTAAAATTCGTAGTCGCATTTACAACGTAGTTTCGTGTAAGACTAGTTTATAATTTTTAAAATGCCGAAATTTGTGAAAGCGAACTAATATTTAAAAGAGTTTCCCAACAAGACATTTAAAAGTGATGGAAATGGTATTGTATTCCGTTCATGCTGTGAAAAGGCATTTATTTATGAAATTTATAAAATATTATTATTTTTTTTTTTTAGAAATTTTCAATACATTTTTTCGATATTTACGTAATTTGGATCTTTTATTCCACATTTTATGAAAAATCAGTACGTATATTGATTTTTTATTACAATAAAATCCGTTCCCAAATGATAACCGCCTTTGTTTTGTGAACGTAGGTACGAAATTGAAAATTTGCGTTCATCGGCGACAACATGTTTGCTATTAATTTGAATAATAGAGTGAATTGAACTATTGTCAAAGATTATAAGATCTGAACGGCCAACAGTGACGTCACAATATTAAAATATATTTCATTAACTTTTTGGTGAAACACAATAAATACTTCGTTTAAAATAGCGTTTTTAAGTACATTATTTCTTAAAGTTGAAATTAGCTTAATACCGGAAAACAAATTATTATAGGTACCTATTGAACGAGTGACGGATTTCGTATACTTCTCGAAAATTATGAACGAGAAGAAATGTACCTTAAAAACAAAATTAAAATTAAAATTGCTAATCTAGTTGACCATAATATCCTTTTTCCTGGCATAAAACAAATTGGAATCTTACTGTATGTTTTTTTTTCTTTCTCAATAGTGTAAAACAAATATGCAAACGCTAAAAGTACTTGTATTTGACATTAATTGTCCATAGGTTGGTACCTAAAAGATTAAGCATTCGCATTCGCGTTTTACAGACACGGGTTACCGGCATAGAAACCAGTAGCTATAAAATCTAAATTTTCGGTTATTTTACGTCACTTTTATTTTCGGGAGTGAAACCGCCAGGGGCTTTCCTTGTGGGAGGACCGACGGGGGCGATCACCGAAGTGGACTTACATTGGCATATGGCATTGCCATTGGTCCGGAAGTAGATATAGGTAATCGATATATTACTTAGGATAATTTTTGTTCTCGTCAATCATTAATATTAAATTTAATTATTTCACCTTAATCTCTCCCCCCCCTCCCATAGCCAAGGTCTGGAGATGTCCCTGGAAACCACTACCTAGTTTTGATTTTCAAATGGTAAACCATAGTAAAAATGCCGTACATAGATGGAGTATTATAATTGAAATGCATTTCGGCGCTGACACTATTGATTTCTCTATCAATCCGTTGACGAGATATTACGCTTTTACGTTTATGCACGGAGAATAGTGGCGGAACACTATTATAATGCGCCGTCATATAAATAACGCATCACTACTCTCCACCCGCCGAATATCGAAAGTGGAATATCTCGTCAACTGTTTGACGGAAATTAAACATCGCATCAACAAAACTGATTTAGACTAATACTCCGTCCATACCGTAATGTGCAGTCTGCGTAGAACTTTTGATTTCAGAGTAAAAGCGCCCATGGCGAAATTAAAAGAGGACAATATTCCTACAGTATTTGAGCGAAGCGAGTCGCGCACGTTTTTTTTCTCTCAGAAAACACTTTTTCGGTTAAGTGATCGAGCGGCGTCTGTGGAATCGTCCAAGAGTTTATAAAAATTATGCTGGCAGCTACTCCTCAGTAATCCGTAAAAGTGAGTTTTTTTTTAGTTCGCTGAGCACAATGGAATTGCCCTGTGTCCCGTGATAAATGTTTCCAAAGTTTGTTTGATAAACAGCGGCAATGATAACAAGCACTGAGCGTATTAAGAACTGTCATCATTACCTAGAGATTGTCATTGCTTCCTAAATTATTAATAATATTTCCGGTATCTGACATATTATAGCACAAACAAAGTCCACAGCTTTCTTTGTACGAGTAAAAAACTTTGATTTGACAGTCAAATTTATTGGGACTTTTTGTTTGTTTACACGTGGTGTGTTTTATATTTTATGATAAATTATATAGTAGACACGTCTTTGAGGTTTTTCCCGTGAAAACTCGAATGAAAATATTATTTATACTTGTATTCAGAACATTTGAAATAGGATCAGACATTCTCGTTATACGTCTGACACATTCAGGCGTTCATTTTTTGATGGGAGAGTGGCTAAAACTGAATGTCATAACCTCGGTAAGATGTTAAAATATGTATTCCAATATGACAATCATAATACTTAAGTGGCTATGCTACAATTTCGGTCCGAAATCGCGGGGCATTATGGGTACCTCCTAGTTGGTTTGTTTGTTTTTGTATTTTTTTCCTAGTTTTTAGGCGGCCGGAGGTTGTTCACGACTTATTTAAATTTATTGTATAACATTAAGTTAGAAAAATAAATTTACTGAGTAAATTCTAATTTGTTTAAAACTCTTCGAGTTTTGGCAAACAAAAATGTTTTGCGTTAGCAATATTATTATATACGTTCGAATTTAGAATAAAATATATTCACTATAAATTAAACTAGAATTGAATTTATTTGCGTTAAAATTACCTATCTATGTCCGTTCGATGTTGGTCGGCAATGAAAAATATAATTTTGCACGTTACTTCGTTTATTTTTTGTAAAATATCTAACCACATTTCAATAAAACAAAAAATCGCTATACCGATACAGT